TGTGTGTGTGTGTGTGTGTGTGTGTGTGTGTGTGTGTGTGTGTGTGCGTGTGTCTGTGTGTCTGTGGGTGGGGAGGGGAAAGAAGCCGTGGGTGTTGCATCATATCTTGACCAGTTTTTAAACTTCGTTAAAAGTGACTGGATAGCTGATGGACTATTCTTCTGTAAAATTAGAACCTTTCCTTCTTTCCATTTCCATTCTCACTGCCATATTTTGGCTGCCTTCCGAGATCACTCTTTTTAACAGTCATTTTGGCATACGCGAAAAACAAGAAGACAAATTCTTCCTGCCGTAATGATCTTTTTTAACGGTGATTAAGTTTCCGTAAAAAGTGCTGAATTTGTCAAAAACTGATCGGATATGAACAAATTCTAAGCTTACCTCTTCAGTCCTCCGTGAGTGATGAAAAGCTTGGTGCGCGGATGACTGAGTATCTCCTGCTGTGGCACCCAGTCTAACAATCGAATGTGTCTGCCGAGATTCATAGCTGGACACCGGCGACATGCCCATATAATACGGTAATCCGGGAGTTTATTGAGAGCTATGGCGAAAGCTTCACGCCGCTCAGCTGGGGCTTCTTTCCAGTCCAGAATTGTCCCAAATGCAAGCAAAATTGTTCCACGTGAGTTCGGATCATTCACCAAATCTACGAACTCACCGGTCAGATTGCCGGACTGCTTACAATAGTCACCGTATGAGAATAACTGAAAGGAAGGTGTTCAGGATTGAACTATATGAAGCAGTGCTACGGTGTTACGTTTATTTGACAGTAAATAAATGTTTTGTAGTATTTGAGAAATCTGTGTTTACAAGTTTTCTCGACGAATCTGAAATACCTCTAGGTTTAAGACATACGTTGTTCATTTCACTTACAGATGTTTTTCAGTGAATGTTACTTGTGCAGCACTGAGTGTTACTCGTTTTTGAATGGTACATAACGATAAATAAGAGCGCATCTGCTAATGAAAAACAGCTAAAAACAGGCACCAAATGAGGGATGGAGGTAAGTGGCATTATATAAGAGAGCTGATGCGTCTCAGAAACGTCAAAAGTACGACTCGATAGTCTGAAAAATAACAGTGGATTGGAATGTACCTCGTTTCCTCGCTAATCGTATAAAGCATTTCAAAGTACTCGAGGTAGATGCTATTTCAAAACACTGAACAAAGCCTAAAAAATTAGATCCTCTAGAAACTGAAAAAGAGATGAAGCAGAATCAGTTGTCGTAAACAGTACTTGTAGACTGAATACATACGATTACGATTCTGGACTCTGTCAGAATCACAAGCGGAAGGCGGACAAATATCACACGCCGACTTTATTTTTATTAGCTGTATTTTCCAGCTAGGTTGCTAGCAACCTTTCCCGTTACTTTGACAAATGCTGTATCGTCTGTGGTTAACCCGTCAGAGATCCTGGCGTTCTTTTTGCCTCCTTAACAGATTGCTAGATCAACAGTTCCCTCGGAAGTCTTGAG